GGACTACAGGTGCATGCCACCACGCTTGGCTAATTTTTGCATTTTTAGTAGAGACAGGGTTGCACATGTTTGGCCAGGATGGTCTCCATCTCCTGACCTTGTGATCTACCCACCTCAGCCTCCCAAAGTGCTGGGATTACAGACATGAGCCACTGCACCTGGGCAACTCCTAAACTATAATTTCTAGTCTTGTGGCTAATTTGTTAGTCCTACGAAGGCAGTCTGGTCCCCAGCAAGAAAGGGGTTTGCTTTGGGAAAGGGCTGTTATCGTATTGAAATGGCCTTGTTGTCTGGAGTAATACCCAAAGTTTGTTGTGCCATGGTCATGGAGAACAAGGATGTGGATACAAAAAGAGTGAGGTTAAGAGCAGAAGTTTAAAAAGAAAAAGAATGAGAAGAGCTCTCTGCTGCAGAGAGGGGTCCTGGAAAAATGGGTTGCCAAATCCATGGTGAAATGCAGGGGGGTTTATAGATAAGCTGGCGAGGAGGGGGTGCCTGATTTACATAGGGCACAAAAAACTGGTTATGCCATTTGCATAGGGCGTGAATTTCTTGTATCCCCAACCTAATCTTTTTCATGCACGCAGGTTCTCTGCCTGGGCTGTGCCATGTTGCCCATTTCTCTATTACTGCACATGTGATAACAAAAAAAGGGAAGATGGAGCCTTGATGTTGGACATGCCTGGCCACCAGGTAGCCCTTTTCTATTGGCACAGTTGCTGGCATTTGCCCTGCAAGCTTCTAGCTTCCTTATCTATATCTGCAGCTCGATTTTTCAGGCTGCTCTTTGTTAGAAAAGAAATGATTTGGGGGCTGCTTTTGTTAGAAGAGAAGTTCTGCCGAGGACTCTGTTGCCCTCACTATTTGCCCAAATAATTTCTTTCTACCTTCTGTGTCAGCATTTGTTTCAAAGTTAAACTGTAAACTAAGTTCCTCCCAAAGTTAGTTTGGCCTACACCCAGGAATGAACGAGGGCAGCTTGGAGGTTAGAAGCAAGATGGAGGCCGGGTGGTGGTGTCTCATGCCTGTAATCCCAGCACTTTGGGATGCCAAGGCAGGTGGATCACCTGAGGTCAGGAGTTTGAGACCAGCCGGACCAACATGGTGAAACCCCGTCTCTACTAAAAATACAAAAATTATCTGGGCATGGTGGCAGGTGCCTGTAATCCCAGCTACTGGGGAGGCTGAGGTAGGAGGATCGCTTGAATCTGGGAGGTGGAGGTTGTGGTGAGCCAAGATTGTGCCATTGCCCTCCAGCTTGGGTGACAGAGCAAGACTCTGTCTCAAAAAAAAAAAAAAAAAGGATACTGTGGCTCACGCCTGTAATCTCAGCACTTTGGGAGGCTGAAACGGGTGGATCACCTGAGGTGGGGAGTTTGAGACCAGCCTGACCAACATGGAGAAACCCTGTCTCTACTAAAAATACAAAAAAATTAGCCAGGCGTGGTGACGCATGCCTGTAATCCCAGCTACTCGAGAGGCTGAGGCAGGAGAATCGCTTGAACCTGGGAGGCAGAGGTTGTGGTGAGCCAAGATCGTGCCATTGCACTCCAGCCTGGGTAATAAGAGCAAAATTCTATCTCCAAAAAAAAAAAAGAAAAGAAAAGAAAAAAAAGAAGAAGCAAGATGGAGTGAGTCAGGTCAGATCCCTTTTGCTGTCATAATTTTCTCACTGCTATAAATTTTGCAAAAGTGGTTTAACTGTAGTCAAGCAGTCACCTGCTGACAGCATGTATCTCTCAGGGTGTTGTGATGGTATCTTGCCACTTGAGGTGGAAACTGTGTTTGTTGTCCTTCCAGCTCAGCTTTAGGAAAAACTCACACAGGCATGGAGGGAGGCACCCTCCTATTAATACTGTCGATTTGCTTCAGCCAGAGTGACTCCATCTTGAATAGGGACTGAGAAAAAACCAGGCTGGGACATGCTGGGCTGTATTCCCAGAACGTTAGGCATTCTTAGTCACAAGCTGTTTATGGTTAAGGAAACAAATTAATACTGTTTACTAAACAGACACAGGACTTAAGAGACCCAGAAATGTCCTGATGTCCCCATATCTCAAGAACAAAAGCAGTCCTAGTCCAAGAATAAGTTTAACTTTAAAGATAATAATATCGATTCTTCCAAAAGGTGGTAATTACAAAGATTAATCCTTTATCACGAACCCTTGTAGTCAGCACATCTCCCCATGATTTGTTTGTTATCTTATGTGTAAACAAGCATTGCACCCTGATGGGAGGTGGGCAGGGGTGACAAATTATGGGAGGGCAGGAGGGGAAATGTGTGGTGAATGAAGTTTGCCTTGTTAGGCAGAAAAAAGTCTTTCAAGTGATGAAAGTTGCCTGGAACAGCCTTCTTCCTGGTACAGGCACATTTACTAATGAAAATGTCCTTCATAGATGGAAATTTCCTTTACAAAAGGGCAGGTTTTCAGAGCTGCTCATTTGTCTACAGTTTCTAAAAAAAAAAAAAAAAAAAGCCAAGCAGGCTAATAATATGCCAAAGAGGAATATTTTGAGGTGGTATGTCCTGGGCCCCAACAACACCCTCACCCCAGGACCCTCATTACAATCAGTGATTTCATAAAGCCCTCCATTATCACCCGGGCAAAATGTGGCCCAGCTCTCTTTCTTTTTCATCTTCCCTTAAGTTGCCTTCTTGTCAAGTCTCCAGGGCACTCCTGGGGTTGTTCTTGGTTTTACCAGGACAAAAGCAGGGAGAGGTGGTGGAAAGGCAGTCACACATGACTGAGGAGGCAGGTCTTTGAACCTCCCTAAGGGCAGATGCTGACACTTAGGAGTCTCTCCTAATTTTCCACAACTGGAGGAATTAGATTTTGCTCTGTTGGTCTTGTGAGGGTTTCTTTTGTGTAATCACCAAATGGATTCTTCCTGCTGACTGCACAGACAAAATGAATTCACTGAGACCTCAGCACTGCAGTAAAGAAAAGAGTCTAGGCCAGGCGCGGTGGCTCAAGCCTGTAATCCCAGCACCTTGGGAGGCCGAGGCGGGTGGGTCACGAGGTCAGGAGATCGAGACCATCCTGGCTAACACGGTGAAACCCCATCTCTACTGAAAATACAAAAAATTAGCCAGGCGAGGTGGCAGGTGCCTATAGTCCCAGCTACTCGGGAGGCTGAGGCAGGAGAATGGGGTGAACCTGGGATGCGGAGCTTGCAGTGAGCCGAGATCGCACCACTGCACTCCAGCCTGGGCGACAGAGAGACACTGTCTCAAAAAATAAATAAATAAAAAATAAAAAAAAGAAAGAGTCTAGGCTGGACTTGGTGGCTCACACTGAAACTGCCATTGCAAAATGATAACTGAGACAGTGAAAGAGATCTGACCTAAACCAACTCCATCTTGCTTCTAACCTCTAAGCTGTCCTTGTTCATTCTTGGGCGTAGGCTGAACAAGCTTTGCGGGGAGCTTAGTTTATAGTTTGAAACAAAGAGATGACAGCTCTTTCCTGAAACAAACCCCCTTCTTGCCTACGGACCAGTTGGCCTTTGTAGGACTAACAAATTAGCCAAAAGATTAGAAATTATGGTTTAGGAGTTATGTAGCCAAAGGCTGCAAGATTCTGACCCTCCCCAAATTGCTCCTGGGGATAACATCACTATTGTAAAACCTAAGGTCAGTGCTTGAGATATTTTGCAGACCCTGCACTTGATGGATCAGCTGGCATCATCCAGATCAAGAAACTGGCTCATCTGGTCTTGTGGCCCCCACCCAGAAGCTGACTGAGCACAAGAGGACAGTTTTGACTCCCTGTGATTTTATCTCCAACTCAACCAATCAGCAAATCTCAACTCACTGGACCCTACCCAGCAAATTATCTTTAAAAACTCTGGTGCCCAAATGCTCGGGGATACTGATTTAAGTAATTATAAACTCTGGTGTCCCATCCAGTTGGCTCTATGTGATTACTCTTTCTATATTGCAATTCCCCTGTACTGATAAATTGACTCTGTCTAGGCATTGGGCAAGGCGAATCCACTGGGCAGTTGCAACACCTGTAATCCCAGCACTTTGGGAGGCAGTAGGATAACTTGAGCCCAGTGTTAGCAGCGGGTCTGTGGCGTAGGGGTCTGCAGCAACTCGATTTTTGCCCCTTCAGAGGAAAGAATTCATCTGAGAGGCATAAGGCAGAGTGAGAGACTGAGGCAAGTTTCAGAGCAGGAGTGAAGTTCTATTAAAAAGTTTTAGAGCAGGAACAAAAGGAAGTAAAGTACCCTTGGAAGAGGGTCAAGCAGGCAACTTGAGAGATCCAAGTGCCTGGTTTGACCTTTTGATAGGGAATAGCTGGGCTCCTGGCTAAACCCCACCCTTAAGCCTGGAACTGCAGCCCCGAAGTGAAAACAGCTGACGCTTATTCTTCCATCCAAATGTTTACCTTTGGGCCTGCCATGCCCCTATCCTGTGCCCGTAAAAAGACTTCAGCTGGCAGAGCAACACAAGCAGCTGAGCCTTGGAGACTATGGATAGACATGGCTAACCTCAGATGGTGCAGCTTCAGGGGAAGATCACCTTCCTGCACCATCCCCATTCCAACTCCTGTCCAGAGGACAGCCGCTTCCATCGCCAAATAAAATACTCCACATATACTACTCTTCAATCTGTTTGTGTGAACCTGATTCTTCCTGGATGCCGGACAAGAACCTGGGCGCCCGCCAGGCGCAGTGGCTCACGCCTGTAATCCCAGCACTTTGGGAAGCCAAGGCGGGCTGTTCACGAGGTCAGGAGATCGAGACCATCCTGGCTAACACGGTGAAATCCCGCCTCTACTAAAAATACAAAAAAATTAGCCGTGCAGCAGGTGCCTATAGTCCCAGCTACTCGGGAGGCTGAGGCAGGAGAATGGCGTGAACCCAGGAGGCGGAGCTTTCAGTGAGCCGAGATGGCGCCACTGCACACCAGCCTGGGCGACAGAGCAAGACTCTAACAACAAGAACCTGCGGTGCCGAGAGGGCAGGGGCTTGGATGCTGCTGTGGGGACTGCACAGAGCCTGCTCCTGCCAGAGAGGAGCAACCAGCCAGTTCCAGTGCTCGTTCCCTCCGATTCCTGCACTCACATGCTTGCCTGCACTCCCTCTCTCCAGGAGCGGCCAGCGGTGGGCTGAAAGGACCCACGCCAGCTACTGCCCACGAAGGAGGTCAAGGTCAGGAGAACTATCCTCTCACTTTAACTTGGGGTTTTATAAGTAGGCATGTTTCTGGGGGTTGCATCTCTCCTCCCTTGACTCTTCCCTTGGGGCGGGCTGTCTGCCTGCACAGTGGCCTGCCAGTGCTGGGGAGGGGCCGCATGCACAGCCTGTTTACTGGAGTTGTACATGTGCTCACTTGAGGCATGTTCCCCTTTCCAGTCGGGTATTCCTAGAGCAAGGTCATATACCAGTTAAACTCCATTTTCCTCTTAGTGCACATGCTTAAGCCCACTCGCCCGACTTCTGAGATCTCATCAGGAAACTGCCGATCACCAGCTTCAGGTGTTTTCTGTCTATTGGAAGACTGCGTTTCTCTGGCACTGGTTGCAACCAATTATTATTTTAGAGAGACTGTGTAACAACTACCTGACCATCATCTGATGGTTGCTTGACATTCCTGATAGCGGGAGGCCTCTCCTGCCCTGCTCATGTTTGCCTAACTACGCTAACACCAGGAGTTCAAGACCAGCCTGGGCAACATGGTGAGACCCTGTGCCTACAAAAAACTTAAAAATTCACCAGGTGTGGTGACATGTACCTGTGGTCCCAGCTATTTAGGAGGCTGAGGTGAGAGGACCACTTGAGCCTGGGAGGTGGAGGCTGCAGTGATCTGTGATTACAACACTGCACTCCGGTCTGGGCAACAGAGCTGTAACTGCCCAACAGATTCTCCTTGTCCAGTGCCTAGATGGAGCTGGTTTATCAAGACAGGGGAATTGCAATAGAGGAAGGGTGTATTTCACTCAGAGCTGGCTGTATGGGAAATTGGAGTTTTCTTACTACTCACATCAGTCTCCCCAAATTCAGGGACTGGGGTTTTTAAGGATAATTTGGTGGGTAGATGGCTGGGAAGTGGAGAGTGCTGATTGGTCAGGTGGAAGATGAAATCACAGAGTCAAAGCTGTCCTCTGGCACTGAATGAGCTCATGGGTAGGGGCCATAAGACCAGCTGAGCCAGATTACCAATCTGGGTGGCGACAGCTGGTGCATGAGAACCAGAATGCAGGGTCTGCAAAGTATTCAAGTACTGATCTCAGGTTTTATTTTTTATTTTATTTTATTTTATTTTATTTTATTTATTTATTTATTTATATTTTGAGACAGAGTCTCTGTCACCCAGGCTGGAGTGCAGTGGTGTGATTTTGGCTCACTGCAACCTCTGCCTCCGGGTTCAAGCAGTTCTCTGCCTCAACCTCCCGAGTAGCTGGGATTACAGGCACCTGCCTCCACGCCCGGGTAACTTTTGTATTTTCAGTAGAGACAGGGTTTCACCATCTTGGCCAGGCTGATCTTGAACTCCTGACCTCGTGATCCACCCGCCCTCAGCCTCCCAAAGTGCTGGGATTACAGGTGTGAGCCACCACGCTCAGTCTGTTCTTAGGTTTTAAACAGTGATGTTATTCTCAGAAGCAATTTGGGGAGGTTCGGAATCTTGCAACCT